GGGAGAAGTAATAAAAGGCAAAATTTAGTTTGGTTTAAAAAAAATAAAAGGGGAAACCTGTTAAAACTATAAGGCGGTTTTTTTGTCCGCCAACAACTGAAAGAAAACAAATAACAATTGAGTACTAATTTGACTAAAATGTGCCAAATATCAATTTTTGGAAAATATTTAGGGGCTTTCCCATGTTAAGTTGCTCACTTTGTAAATACAAATATTTTAAATGTGTGTTGACAACATTTGGATCCATTTGCCTTTCGAATTTTTTATCAATGAGTGTCGAGAGCAGCAAGTTCTTCAACATAGAGACTATTTCTCTGTTTTTGAATTTCCTAAATTACACAGAACAAAACAAGCTTTACTAACTATGCGTTTATAATTCACGCATACAATTTATGTGTTCGTATTTTTTTCGGCGAACTCGTTAATAACATTATTATTCTTTTTTAGTTTTTCGTTTTCGGGTTTTTTAATTTTTTATTATTTTTAGAATAGTTTCATAAACCACACATTTTTAAATGAAGTTCTTTTTCTGTTTATTCACGATTGTGAAAATATGATACTTTCAATTCGCACCATTTTATATTGGAATTATTTGTCGTTGTATGTTTTAAAGTGGTTTAATTTAAAAGAAAATCTAATAAAATGTGAATTTATTGCAAATTCTATTAATCTGCTTGTATCATTATATCACATAAAAATGTAAATGCATGTGATATTTGTTGAGTATCTGTAATTATATATTAAATAAGACTGTACGTCTGTTTATTATTATCTTACAAATACGATCTCGAATTTAAATTACTCATTTGTTTATGATCAATTTTTTTCGAGTTTTTCAATGGGCAAATTTTATTATTTGGTTAATAATGAACGGATAAAAATCCTTCTTGTAATATTTACCTGTTAATCCAATTTTTGAAGATTTTCCTTTTTGGCTTGTGTATTGTTTATGCATAAAATATAAACTCTAAAAAACGGAAATTTATTTAATAAACTTGAGATTTCCCGATTTTTAGACCACTTGAATTTTGTTTAATGTCATTTAAAGTGTTAACTCAAATTTTTTCGATGGGAATTGTTTCTTTTTTAAAAACCGTGATATCTAATATAGTAACCTTTCCGCCTTCTTTTATGATGGAACTTTGATAAGTATGTGGAAATTTCTGGTTTCGAGTGATTGGAATAGAAATGTTTTCTCCATCCACCCGAGCTATAAATTTATTGTCACGAGTTGTGTCATAATTTGTTGGTAAAGTAGCATTGATTTTTCTTATAATAGGTTTTGATCGATTTATTATATCCAATAATTTTTTATTTTCTTTTATTAGATATTTATTTTTTTTTCCTAAATCGTTAATTTCAGACTTCATTATAATTTGTTTTTTGTCTGCCAACTTTGACTCTTCGATATCTCCATCATCTTCACTCACATCATTTTCTTCACTTTTGATATATTCGGAATTTCCTTCCAAGGAAACAGAGATGGTGTCAAATACCACAACATTATCAGTATTTGATTTGTCAATAGATTTCATTTTTTGAGTCATTTCAACAATTGCGTTTCCGAAAAATGAAATTGATGTAATGGTGACCAAATTCGATGTGAAAAATGTTGTTATTTCTTGTTGTGATAATTGTGTTTGTGTTCCAAATGGAAGTAGTCGTGCAAATGAATTTAAAAAATTGTATTTGTCATACAAAAACATAAAAAAATCGTTGTAAAATGTTAGAACGTTGTTAGTGTTGATATAACGAAATTGTTTTTCTTCTGGTATTTTGAAACGGTGTGATAGTTCTCGATTGAAAATATTTATAAAAGCATTTATATCAAAAATTGTATTATCTGTTGGGTTTAAACACGACAACATGTCGGGCATGTATTTGAAAAGCGATTTGACACCCATTTGATGTTTTGAGTTTTACTTTTTAGAGATTATAATTGTTAAAAATATATTGAATAAGGAAAACAAAATTAAACTATTTATTTAAAATAATAATATTATAAAACGTTAATAATGCAATTAACATTTTATTAACCGTTTTGATCAGGGCTGCAAACCTCAATTAAATAATCGTTTTTTGAAAAAGAAAAAATGGCATTTTATCTTTTTGGATAAAATAAATTTTCCTATTCACAAAAGAATTTTTTTCCTCATTTTAATGAAAATAATTATAAAAATTAAAAAATATGCTGTTTTGGGAATGTTTTTTAATAATATGCTCAAAACTGCACTTAATTCCGTCCTTCAAATAATAATACCAAAAATGTTTTGAAAAACAAATTATTACCAGAAAAATAAATCAGAAAAATTTAAATATTTAAACCAAAAACTAAAGAAAAATAAAACAAATACAGTATAATCCGGGTTTTATTCACTTAAAATATTTTGGAATTATCGGGTTTAATTCCACTTTTTTCAAGATAATTATTTTAAATGATTTTTAAAACAAAAATAATTGATGGAATTAACTTTCGGTAGTTTCATAGTTATAATTATTTAATAAATATTTGATTCAATCAAAAACAAATGATGATGGTAAAGGCTTTTTCATCGTCTCTAAAAATAAAGTTTTTTTTAACCATTTAATATAATATTTTAATTAAAATTATAGTAAATGAAAGCTTGGGATAATAATTGGTCTGGTTCCCGATTAAAAATGTGTCGATTATTCATCTCGAAACAGTGGAAACCGAGTGAGACGGACCATCGAAAAGAAGGTACAGGCGGTCTGTTTGTGCACCCGTTTAACAAACTTTCAATGTCCTCCTTGGAGCGGATCCCAATGAACGCCCCTGTTTGAAAAGGGAACCACATCCATCCAAACAGTACGGAGGAGGAAAGTGGGGGTGACATGGTACGCACACACAGTGACTGAAAAGTGGACTTCCTACAAAAAATACTCGCGGCAAATACTTTGTTAAGGTGGTGGTGAAACAAGTGTGTTTAAATAAATGAAAACGAATAAAAATAGAGTTTATTATGTTTTTATTTATTCATTATTTTATAATAAGTAATTTATAATATTATAGTAGCGAAAAATAGATCCAGAAACAAAAATAATGCATTTTTATTGAAAAACAAATAATCTGATTAAATTGTGTGAAAACCCAAATATTTTACATAAATTTGAACAAAAACAAGACTATGGTAATAAAACTCAAAAGTGTTGTTTTTGTTATTTTTTCTTACTTCAAGTTTAATTATTTTCGAATGAATTAAACCCGATTATTTAATTAAACCCGGACTGTAATTAAACCCGGATTATACTGTATATCGTGTGTTGGTTTGACCAATATTGTTTAATATATTTTTTTGTATTAAACAAAATATTATCTTTTAATGTATTGCATAAAAACTAAAACAGTGGTTTCTATTACTAATTAATAGTTTTTATATAATTAAAAAACTAAATATGAAAAGTTCTATTTGGAATAAAAATTAAAAAAAAATTAAAAAAATTGTTCATTATTATTTAAATCGACTTACCATCAAATAGTTTTAGATGGTCGATACATTGGTACTTGTCGAAACTTAAGTACCACATGAGCATGAAACTTCAATTGTAAATTTTTTCAAAAAATATAAACAAAATAGTTATTACCAATTAACTATTTTATGATTTTCTTAGTTGTCACTTGAATACAGTAAAACCTCCCAAGAGTGAGCATTTTAAGACTGAAACTAAAAATTTAGTTCTCTATTGAGCGGCAATTAAAGTTTGATTGGCTAAAATGCCCTCTCTTGAGAGAACAAAATTACAACACGCTCTTGGTATATTTTACTCCATGTTAAAATCTTTCTTTATTTTTATTGGATTTGTAAATTAAAATTGAACATAAATTCAAAATTAAAGGAATTAAAAAACTTTAAATGTTGAAGGGCTTGGAAATAGCGAAAGGGATGTACGTTGTTCCTAATTTTGAGTTTTTCTTGAAGTATCTTACTTCATATTTATTTTCAATAGAACCACCATCACGTTTTACCATCAATTGAGACTTCATCTCACCTTTCTTTAATACAACTGTTTGAACACTTTTGGGATCTTTCCACATCGATGGGTTGTTTTCTTCAAAGACTTCTATATAATCGCCATCTTCTGCTGGTGCTGAGAACGTCACATCGATTTCCCCATTTGTTTTGGCTTCTGCGCCAAGAACAAATAATTTGTCCGTCTCAGAACCAACAAAGACATTTGCAATTTCGTATACTCTGGTATATGAAAACGTGGTGTTATGGAAGGTCAGTA